GGTGCTGCCCGCGGAATCGAGAGCATTGAGGGAAACCGATACCCTGACGTGGGCGGATGCTGCGGGTTTCGGTTTTTATCGGAGCAGGCCCCAAAATGTGCTTGTAAGTCTTTCTTTTACTCTGGCATTATCTTGCCATTGGGCCTCTAATTGTAGGTGCTTTCTTCGTGTTACGACACCGCTCATGATGCGGGTTGTGTCGCCTGGCATGTACTGGATGTCAACCACCGGCCTTCCCTCGGATGTGTCGATTAGTGTTTTGCGAACGCCTGTTTATGAGTCATTCATTCATCATATGGACCATGCCCATTCCAAAAACAGATGGGGGACAGAAAAGCACATTTGAAGAGATCGGGACCGGGTAGACAGGGAACCTAATGAGGGTGTCATAGGCGAGGAAAGTGTTGTCTTATTTCTTGCCGAGTTTCTTGACACAGGCAACATTGTCGCCACCTTATGTATCCTCTGTTCCCTGGTTTTTGTTGCTTTTGTTTAGACTCACTGTACTGTATGTCTTCACCCTTTTGACAAAAATGAAACACCCATTCCAACAAAATACTGACGAAACACGATGCACACGAAAAAGTAGCTACATACCAATATCACGATGTGTCAATGAAGAAACAGTCTGCCTCAAACTTGACGTCCGCTCCTGTGATTTGCTGCCAATTTGCTGCAGGCACTGCCGCTGCAGCAGGCACTCCCACCGCCATCTCCGTTGCAGCTGTCACTGTTGCTGATCCCTTCGCAGGTGCCCGTGCCTTCCTCCCCTTCTTAGGTTAGCGGGTCGTGCCACCTCTTGAACGATGGGTTGCGAGGGTCCAGCCGTCATGGATTGAGGCTGATGTGACATTGAACCTGCGGTGTTGATAGTTGAGTCAGCACGGCACTCTGCATGAGCACCAGAGTGGCTGGCTTGGCCTGGGGTGCTGGTGCTTGGGGTGAGGGTGAGCCTGGTGAATGCTTCCTCGAGGCCGCTGCTGTCGTCGTTGTTGATCAGCGCCACTGTGTTATTGTCCGTTTGTGCCTTGAAGATGATGTTGTTGTAGAATTTGAGTAACGCCTTGTGGTACGGTGTGCCTGCCTTCGCCTGGATAAACTTGCATACGAATTGAAGTCTTTTTGGTAGTCAATGCCCGAACAAGCACCTTTCCCTGCTGCATTGAACTCCATGTTGGGGGAAAATGCTGCCTGAACCTATGGTAAGACCTCCAAGAATTTGAAATGAAAATAATGTTTACCAGAATCGCAATCGTCACAATGCTACCTTCAGTGATGTATAACACTTTCCACAGTTTGGCGTACGTTTTTGGCTTGGCGTAAGTTTTATTCCGGGAGATGGAAGCAGCACCTTGCAGGAGGCCCTTCAATGCCTTGGTTGATGGTGCGAGGTGAGTAAAGACCCTGTAAATATGGGTACATCTCCTGTAAACGTAAAAACATGTCCACACCAACAATATACATACAACCTTTTCCGTTGCCTTGGCTTGCTTTTGTGTTTCTATTTGGCCAGATAAGATGATGAGAGTGAGATGTTCACAACATAAATGCTCCACAGACACGCCGTGAGGTTGGGAGAGAGGAATGGGAGCAAATGGGACGTAATCAGGTCGTTATCAACAAGACGTCAACGATCCATCATTACGCGGATACAATTCCCGATATAATCACGTTGTAACTGATCCGGTCCATCAATTCTCAGTTATAACTGAACTAGGACCCTTTCAACGCCTCGATCCAATGGCAATCTATTGCAACTCAGGTTCAAACCAGTGTTGAAACTCAGTCATAATGCGAGCCGGTTGTGACCGGCTAAAGAAATCTCCGACATGGGTATGGGTTTTCATGGGTAAGGGTACAGGTTTAGCCAGGTACAGGTTTCCATGGGTAAGGGTATGGGTTTAGCTGAAGGTACCTGGGGGTTACCTGTGACAATGCCTACTTACAAGTCCAGGCTTGCCAGATGGCAGAGGCAGAAGGCAGTGGGAGACATGGTTCTGGAGAACGGAGTCATGTGTAGAGGATCCTGTAACCCTGGAACAGGAGCATCCACATCCAATATACATGTTGTGGTTTCAAGTAGAGTTGATGATTCTCTTCTTCTTTGTGGTGCTCTTTATCCCCAGACTCTTCTCAACAGTCTGGGGATCCTTATTCACGAATATTAGTTCTATATCCAGCTTAGAGTTAGTTACCAAAGCAATATAATCCTATATTCACTTACCTAATGATAGTTTCTTAATCAACATATCACTATTGTCTAGAGTCGTCTCAAAAGGGCTAGCAGCATGATCACTAGCATAGATGACATCATTGTTGAGTGAAGTGCAGGAACTATTAGAAGTTAGAACAGGTTTGCATGATTATGGGGCATGAACAGTGGTGGAATGGGTCGAAGTCTAAAGAACAGGCCAATTCCTGATTTGGTAACTATGGAATGTGAGACCATGAAGCAAACAAACAATGACTAAACAAATGAACTTGAAGGATGAAAATCTACCTTATATATTTTTCAAGTGACTTAGAAATATTTCATGTATCTTTTACACATAACTTAGTGACACAGACCATAAGCTGCACAAAGAAATAATGACTAATGAATGATGGGTATTGCTACAGGTACCCACCAACCCCTGCCACAGATACAGGTTTGGCAAAGGTAGCGAATATCAAACCTGTACCCCTACCTGTAACCCGCATGGGTTGCTAAACCTGTGACAATCACTATACATATATACGATGACATGTATTGTAGCCATTCATCTGTTTGCCTCTGCTACTTGCAGAGACAATCTTATTCTCAAATTTTCTTCATTTCACAAATGATCTACACTTACTGATTTGAATTTGACAAGTTGGTCATCAAGACTGGAAGGGAAGGAGGCCAGAGATAGGAAGTAAGAATTACAGTTAGTGTTTAAAAGTCTGGTCTGGTCCAGTTTTTTGATGCCCCAGGGCTTAGACCATAACCGTAACCAGTCTGCCTCTTTCCCAGAAGTCAAAAGACTGAACCGGACCACAAAAAACCGCAGTCTGCAGTCTTTTTGTGGTCTATAGACCAGTCTTGGTCTTCTTTGGTTTTGACCAGTTTAAGACCAGTCTTTCAGCCAATATTTTAGAGTTATGAGTTGGTAAATTTGTTGACGTTTTTATTAGCTTTAAAAAGAGCCCAAGAACGTTAAATCCCATTAAGAATTGGTGTTTCTAATAAAAAAAAGCCTGGTACAGCTACTATTCAA